ACGACAGTCTGATTCCTTGCGTACCGTACGATTTCACAACTACCTTTATGTATTAGCATCTGGTTTTACTCAAAATAATGACTTTCAATACTAACATATTCAGCCATCTAGAAGGTGTCGACATCTATGCAACAGTAAAACTAATATTAACTCATTGCATTAGATTCGAGTTTCTAACCTTCAACTACCTTTGATCAAGCTTTAATTGCAGATTGTTAGTCCCGTTCAACACGGAAAGTCCTCTATCGTACTCTTTCACGAAGTAACTTCTTATTGGTTGTTCGCTAACATGCAATCAGGAATCGGACAAACATATCAATTTATATGGATTTTATTCTGTACGTGTATGATCCTTCTTTTCAGTCGACGGAGCAAATAGAATTCTTTCTTTTCATTGATTGTAATGAGCATTTTGTTGTAGATTATTTCCTACTATGTATTGCTTATCTCGTGTTCTTTGGCGACCATATTCGTGGTCGATGTTAAAATGCAGGTTATCATCGGTTGGTATTGTATGTCATCTATTATCTATTCGATCACATTCATCATTGTCCAAACCTCCTATTCAATTCAGTTTCGTACCACCAAAATTACCGGTGGAATTGGAACAATACGGCCATCTACTTGTTGAATATGTTTCGTCTATGTGCATGGCATTCAATATTCAAGCTATGACATGTATCACCACACTTGAAAGTTATCATAGTATGGATAAATTAGAGATGCAACGTGAATTTCTTACCATTGATGCTGATCGACAACGACAAATAACTTATTTAACCAGTGAACTTTTGAAGGCTACTCATCGATTTAATCTACGAGGTGCAATTGAATTTATTCGTGAACGAATAAAATCCCGATCATCATCATCATCTTCTAGTTCACATTCATCTCCGATTGCTACAAGCGTTATAGACAAGCCGATGCAAATGTTATTAAATGATCATGAATTTTATCATGAACTTTCACGAGCAGCACTTTTGAATCAGATTGTCTTCAATGATATTCAACGTTCGATGATGGGATTATATCATTCATTAAGTAAATATTTTCATTCTCAACAGACATGCGAAAATATTGTAATTGATGCTCGTTTACTTGCTCCCTCTGAACAATTCGTAATTGGTGTATTATTTAAACGATTTAATATTTCATCGATATATATTGATAAGGACGGTAATATGGCTATGTTTCCGTACAATCTGAAAGATGTAACATCTGGCCAGTAAGTTTTGGATTACTTGAAATATTTTCTTTTTTTTTTCTTTTGCTAAATCGTATTCTTTTATCTTTTCATCTGGTCCGTTGCTCTTTCACACAGATCAGGCTCGAAGAATAGCCATTTCTGATACCTCTGTTAGATAGAAATCGCTTTTTTCCTTGAGAAACTGTATGATGAAAAGTTTTTGTTTGCTTGAAATTGCTAGTGTGTTGTAGATCTTAGCCATTCCATCGTCTTATGAATGATAATTGCCACTAGTCTTTATGTTATTGTTTTTCTTCTTTTAGTTAACTTATTTGTCATTCTGGTTGATCTTCTCCAAATTTGTCAAAGCAAAGAACCATCAAATCGCCTTGACTGATGCTCTCTCTCTTTTTGTATTCTCATTCGAATAAACTATTTTTCTGCCTTTCTGTTGTACTTACATGAAAACTCTAAATCAGTTATAAAATCGAATCGATAGGATTTTTTTATTCGGCTAAACGTGTTTCTGATGAATGTTTGAAATTTTCATTTACATTAGAGATCTAATTAGGCAGTTACTCTGTCGAACAATAAATGCTGATGTAGGAGATCATACAGTAGTCAAAAAAAAATACTTTATATTCGTATTCTTGCTTCTCTAATAATAAGTAATATGTGATTGCATGTTCAGCATTTTAGAAAATACATGTGAGGTGTGATAAAATTGGACACTGATCAAAGATGTGATCTCGAATTTCAAAATGAAAGAAAAACAAAGAATACATAGATAATTAAAACATGGATTTGTTTTATAAGATAATAATTAATAATAAGACATATAAGAACAATACATGTAAAATTTATAAATCAATCATTGATATATTTTTTATTTAATATAATCTATGTCAAAAGACAAAAAAAAGGAAAAAATAATATTATATAATATAATAATTGTATGTGTTGTTGAATTGTTCAACCAAGATATAGATGAAGCTGAACAAAAACAATTAGAAAAAGAAAATGAAGTTTGTTTTTTTGAAATAAATATTTCATCTCTAGATTCAACGTTTAAAAATGATGGAAACAAGTCTTCATAGAGATGTTAATGAAAGAGATCATCGTATTGTTGATATATCTAAATATACAATTGATGATTTACCACCTTTAATAAATGAACTTGAACAAGTACAAAATCGTTTTGATATAGCAGCTGTTAATAACAATAAATAAAAAAAAAAAGAATATGAAAGTTGTTAAACACGTTTACAAGCAGCTGTTAATGTTACACAAAGGTAAATTTAGATAAAAACATTTATTTTTATATTAAAATAAATAAAATCACAGTTTATATGAAATGGATTTATTTAATATAAAAGAATTTAAACAGTAAGAATAATTATCTCTGTCTCGTTCAGTTTTCTTTTTTTTTCTATGTGCCTGTTTGTTCAAATTTTGATGTTTTTTCTGTGTAAACAATTTATGTTATTCTCATATTTTCAGACGAGATCAATCAACTCGACCAGATGATGAAAGCGTCTGGTAATGAGAAAATATTTCCTTGAAGTGAACCTAACAAAACAATTCTCATTTAGCATCTGCACAAAACTTTGTTTTTGAGTATATCTTATTGATGAAAATCATATTACTTTTTGTTAAGATCAGATTTGATTTTGGAGAATACAATAAGAATTTATTTGAATATATTTATCGTTTTTCTTTTTCGTTGTTAATTTATCGAATTTGGAAGAGCAATCAACGAATGGATAACAGAACATTCAACACGTGATCAAAATTTGACAAATTGTATATTAGCAACTGCTTATATGTGTTATTCTTCATCATTTGATGCTGATTTAAGAATAATTGTATGTCAAAAATTTGTTAAATTTTGTCAACAATATCAAATTCCACGTGAAGCTGATTTAGTTTTTCAAGTATATTTAATAAAATTAATCAAATAATTATTCAATTTCTTTTCTTTTAATAGCCAATACCAATTGATAGAAGTTGAAAAAGTTTTCTCGATATGTCTTCTGCACTGAATAATCTATCATTAGATTCAAGAGGAAATACAGCACGTACTAATCGAATCAATCGAACACCAATAACAACACTTGCTCAATTTTTATATAATCAAATTGAATTAAAAGAATTTCAATTTCTTCGTCTTATACCAACTGATATAATGACTGAAAATGGTTCTATTATTATGGTAGATGCTGTTCTTAATGGATGACCATTAATATCTGATGCAAGATGGTATTCAATTGAATGGATTAGATTATTTTTAAAAAATAAACAATTAATTCTTGTTCTATATTATGTTATAATCAAATCATTAGTTTTTTTTTCTGTTCTTTTTTAATAACAATTACGTACACAATTAGAAACGGCATTATCGGAAAGACTTCATCTTTTATTAATAGATTGTGATAGAAATACTTTAATCAATAATGATAAACTTGAAATAGTTATTAGAAATCAATAGAGATTTTTAACAAGTGAAAAGCCATTTAAATTACAAATAGGTCAACGAGAAATTGAATGTAGTCGAAAATTTCGGTTTCTAATCAAAATAAATATTTTTACATATGATATCTCACATAATCTTCGAAATAGATGTGGACTGACTATATTTTATGTGCTCATTCCAAATATGATATTAGTTTTGATTCAATGTTAACTTTTCACAGTCAATTCTTATCAACATTTATTAAAAATGATGAAAAGTTAATATGCTTAGGAATTACATATGGGGTCATATTTTTTTGTGTTAGAAAATATATGATATTGTAGCTCTTTCATAGCGTTATCAAATGAACAAGTCCACAAGTTTGATTACTTCACTTTATAAATTCACTTGGGTCTCGTCGAATCAAACAAGCAATTAACGAGTTATTCATGGGGTCGAGGATCTATCAAAAAGCTATCAAACTCAAAATTTCAGTGATGGTTTATCTTATTTGTTTATTCTAAAACCAAATCGACCTTAACAGGATGAATTATTTAAAAAAGTGGTCGAAATGTTCTATTTTGATGATAACTTATTGACTTCTAAATCGGATGAAAACTTGATGAAACTAGTACGAAAATGTTCGTGTCACCATGTTCTTTCCATTGGCATATAAGTGAATAGGGTTTATCAAGAGAAATACTAGTGGGCCAATTTCACATCTTATGCGCTCCCGTCACCTTCTGGATCCGCCACTGAAAGTACTTCCAAGCAAAAGCAAAATATTCAGGGTATTTACGATTTTGAAAAAGTATTGTATTTTGCACTCTATTAGAAAAAGCAGAATATTGTGATGATACTTTGCAAAGTATGAAAAGCACCAATTATTTTTTGCGAGATAATTGAAAAGTTGTTTGTCTTTCTCTTGTTGATATATTCTAATTTTCGATGAAGTTATGCGATATTTTTTTTTTCTTTTATTCTTACCAAATTGATTTATTTTATCCTTTTTTTTATTTTTAATATGCATACGATAGTAAAAATTAATACAGAGAAGCATGAATAAGGTATGAATAAAGACGGTTGCACTGAAAACAAGGTACTTGTTTGCCTTTTGTTTCAGATTTCTATTGGAAACTCTGGATAGAAAAGACTTTTTTCATTGACTTCATATTCATTTAGTATATTAGTTCATGCAATCATCTCTCTTATCCGTTTTGATAATTAATATTTTTATTATAGAATGTAATTAGTAATTATTTAAATAACTTTTTCGATATGTGTTAGTTTTAAATATGAAAAACAAAAAAAAACAACAAAAACCAGATCTTTTATAAATAGTAAACCAAAAGTCTTTTGCTTTTAATTGCATAAATGAACAGTAAATGATTTTATCACAGGTTTATCAACTGTTTTAATAATGGTTAATCGAACAGCATTGATCAATTGTGGTCCTACTTGCCATATATCAATTTTTTTATTACCAATACTTGTACCTTGTGCTACCTTCATCCATTGATGAATATTTGTTGTATCAACTAATTGTACATCAACGACATATGCTCGAATAACTTGACCATCAGTTTGATCTTCTTGAATAACTGAACGATCAACAGTAACTGGTGATGAAACAAATAATTGAATATATTGAAGTGAATCATCGGATATAAGACGTTCCATAGGTAAAACAGGTGTTCCATAACATGAACGAATAAAATCACCTAATTGTTTATAACGACGTGCATAAGCAGATGGAATGAGACCTGTTCGATCAGGAGTAAGATCAAGCATTAATAGACAATTTCGACCAACTGTTTCATGATAGACTTGAATTAATTCGGAAAGTGAACGAAGTGTTACATTAACACCCTAGATAAAAAATTATTAAACAAAAAAAAACAAAACAATAATATCAATTATTTAAAATTTAATCATACCCAAAACCATCGATCATGAGCTTGAAGAGTTGTATCACATTCAGCTGGACAAAATATAGGACTATTTGGATCACCACCATCATTTGTTATTCCTGTTGACCAATTTGGATCAGGTGCAACACCCATTTCAGTACCAATCCATCGTACAGAATTTGGTGATATACCATAACCATTAAATGCAATTGCTTGAGGTTGAAGTTCTGCTAGTAAAGCAGTTATTGGATCTTTTAAAGTTGTTGTATATCTAGATTAATATAAAACGAAAGAAAATTTTCACAATTAAGTTATCTTTTTCATGAATAAACTAACCCGCCATCAAACCAAATCTCATCTAAAGTACCATAATTTGTCCATAGTTCTCTTAATTGTTGTAACACAATATTATCATATGTTTTTTGAGTAATATTTAATTGACCTGGTTTTAATGTACGATTTTGAACCTTAATATTTATTAGAAATAGATTTGAAAAATAATTAAGAAATTCATAACAAAAGAATAACAGCTTCAACTCAGACAAATAAGTTAAACCAATCCAAAAACAAACAAACGAAAGACGCTTTTAGCAAACTTCAAATCACTATAAAGGAAAATATAATTTCTCGGACACATACAGCGTATGAATTAGAAATTCTTTTTTTTTTTTTCAAAATTAACATTGTTAGATCCAAAGTTTTTCATGAACTGATATCAAAAATAATTCTGCTAGAAAAGTGCAAATAAGAAAAAAAAACCATTTTGAGAATGTAAAGCGTGCAAGTAGCTCGACACACATACCAACTGATATTCTTTTAGTAAAAATTTCTCTCCTATTCTTTTGCAGATCCATAAAATACTAGACGATATTAAAAAAGAAAATTAACTTACAAAACCACTTTCAACATTAAGCCAATTATTGGTTACTACTGTATAATAAAATCCAGTTCGTATTTGTTTGTTTTCACAACTTTTGATAAATTCATCAAGAATATTTAGACCTTTCACTGGTGAATAATCAACAGTATAATTATATGAAATAATTTTACCAGTTGGATTCAAAGGAAATTTTACATTTGAAGGAGCCATAAGAAAACCACATGCATGCTATGCATTATCAAATATATAGACATTAGAAAAAAGAAATCAATTAAACTTAATTTTTTACTTTTGCAACAAGTACAGCATATTTAGCACCAAAATCAAGCATAGTTTGAACCCAATTGTCTGTATTTAATAAATATGGATTAAATAAAGAAATATTTGGAACTATTTGATCTATACATCCATCATTATTTATATAAGTAGCTATATTAAAATGAATTAATACACCTAATTCTTGAGACTGCCATTGAAGTTGTTCAGGTGCTAAGAAACAAATACGAACTTTGTCTAATCGTAGAAAAGAGAAATAATTACTTACTGGGTAAAGCAATACGTACACCAGTTGTTGGTGAAATACGATATTTTCCAGATGGTAATGGTGAATGTTGTCGTTGTCGTTGATATCGTATTAATCGACCATCATTTTTTAATACGAATAATAAGAACAAAAGAAATGAAACCTTTCTCATCTTAAAAGTCAATAAAACTTGAATTAATTTCATTGAAATTGTAAGATTAAAGTTAGTTTAAGGTCATAATCAATTTCAAAAACATATTAAACAAACAGGAAAAAAAGAAAATTATGTTTATTTTATGTTCTCTCTTGTTAAGCTCAAATATGTCCTTAAGTTATTATTTTATAAGAAAAAAATTTTTTGACTTCAATGAAAAATTTTTTTTCTTCTTCTTTCATTTGCATTATAATTCAATTAAGATTTTATTTCGTCGTTATTACTATTGAAGAAGAAAAAACGAATAAATAAACTAAGTACAACAAGTTACATTTCTTTTTTTTCTCTGGATAGATATTTTGATTGACAATAATAGTAAATAAAAATATTCTATATCATGCAAAAACAAATGTCGGTAAGTAAAAAAAAAAATTTATACATATTCGTCTTTATCATAATCAGTAATTTAAATCGAATCCGATGCATTCTGTTTATCCACATAGCAATTATATACAGATAGTATTAGAAAAGAAAAGAAGAAATAATGATCAATATATGAGTGCATCTTATTTTTTATATATTAGAATTCTTAAATTAATATTTAATAAAATAATTTCGAGAATTTGTCTTATGAAAAAACAAGAGGCTTAATTAATTTTTTTTTATTTATATATTTCTAGTTTTTAATTGATCATTTTCATATCATATGAATATTTATATGACAATAATGGGTTGTGTACAACCATCTCAAAGTTTTATACCATCTAATCATATTCCTATTGAACGATTATATGATGATGGAAGTTATCCAATGATGATACCTTCACCTATTGTTATGATTACTGCACCACCTGCACCAGCTTATGTAAAAAGTGCATTAAAAAAATCTGATCCTGATGAACAACGAATGACAGAAAGACGTATATTTTCAAAACGGCAATTACCATCAGCTAATAAATCAGTAAATTTTGATGAGACAGTATTAGTTAAATCACGTACACCTACACCAAGTAAAATATGGTATGAAAAAGCATCATCAACTATGCCAATGAGATCGAATCGATCTAACGATGATGATGATGATGATGATGATAATGATAATTATGATGACGATGAAGTTTTGTCTGATGAAGGACAAGAAAGTAATGAACAGATGGATACTGAATCATACATTCCAAGATTAGGTACTCCGACTCCATTAATACGAAGAAATCAAAAAAATTCTTTTTGGAATAAAACTAATACAGTAGGACTTATGCCTCCAACAGATACAACACTAAATAATGAATCTTATCCATTAAATACACAACAATATAGTTCTCAAATGAATATCAATACAACAGAAAATCGAATTGCTTCATCAGGAAATCGTATAAAAGTACGACGAAGATTGCCTCACTTTGGTCCACCACAAATTTCACCTGATTCTTCATATGAACATCCTCGACAACCTTCAGCTATTCCTCTTCAACAATCTTCTCAACAATTTTTAGCTGTTCCACTTCGTCAAACTTCTCGACGACCTTCAGTCGTTCTTCTTCGTCAAACTCCTCGACAACCAGTACCTATTCCTCTTCATCAATCTTCTGTACAACCTACAGCAGTTTTGGCTTATCGATTTCCTACACAAACTTCAATCGTTTCTCCTTATCAATCTCCTGTACAACCTCATACTGTTCTATCTTATCAAACACCTATACAACCTCAAACTACTCAATCTTATCAATCGCCTATACAACCTCAAACTATTCTATCTTATCAATCACCTGTACAACCATCTTCTGAAACCGTTCATGTAAAATAAGCAATATCGAATACAAATAGTGTACTTAATGAACATCAGTCTGCATTAACTAAAGTTGAATTATCACTATCAACTATTTATCATGCATTTAGACATTGTCCTATACAAAAATGTGATTTTAAAGGAAAAAGTAATCTGCAAGTTTTTAAGTATATACTTTTTTTTTTTTTTGATAGAAAAAAACATACGAGAAAAAAGAAATTTTTTTCTGATAAATAAAACCCGTCTGAACGGTGTATGTAAAAAAAATTTTATTTATAAATAAACAAAATACGAACATATGAAAAATTCACATCGACAGAAACAGATCAAGTGATAAACCGCCTTCAGATACTGGATTAGGTAAACATAAATTATCTCCTATAAATCGATAACATAATAATCTAGAAAGAAAATAAAAACTCATAATCATCATATAAAATATTTTTAGTTTTTTATTTCAAAATAAAAACAAATAAATTACCTTTCTCGTATAGCTTTTCGTACAGCATCACCTGAATCTTGAAGTAAATCACGATAGAAATCATTCGATAAAATAACACCATTACGTACTACAGCTACATCAACAATTAATCTTTCATTAAAGAATGGAAAAAACATAAAAGTTTATTGGCATTTTGACAAAAAAAAAAAAAAGATTCTTGCATTTTACCTATCATCATAAAATCGTTTATTTTTATCATCAATTTTTTGTTGAAATGCTTTATGAACTATTTTTCGACGAATTAAATCAGGAAAAACACGTTCTTTATCTTTTGATAAATAATGTGCTGGTAAAATAACAACAATTTTTGAATCAGGATAACCATATGCATGAAATAAATCAACAGCTAATTTAATACCACGTGCAGAAAATTCGGAATCTCCATATCTAAAGAAAACGATAGAAGAAAGAGCAAAGGTGAATAAGGACTTGTTTTGATCTATGGATTTTTTTTTCTTAGAAAAGAACATTAAAATTATCAGATTTTGTAGCGATTGAGCTGACAAATCTAATCGTGTATAGATATTGACGTGAAGTCTTAAATTAGGAATACTTATACCTCTTACAAATTTTTGTCAGACTCATTACTTTTCTAGTTAAGATAAATAGCTTATTTGAAATTAGAATCAATAACTGAGTTGATCTATATGTGTTTCAAAATTTTCGGACAGCTTTTAGTTTCGTCGAAAAATTTACTCTCGGCTCCTCTCAGAGTTCAGCTAAAAACTGAACTTAATCACAACATCACTTTTAATGCGTAACCATCTGCCTTTTTGACTGAATCCTGAAGGGAACCAAGGACGAATTTTTCGACGAAAATAAAAGTTGTTCAAACAATTTGAAATACATATAGATAAACTTAGTTGTTGATGTTAATTCCAAATGAGCTCTTTGTTTTGACTAGAAAAGTAACGAATCTGACAAAAATTGACAAATATCAGTTAAAAAATAGTCACTTGTACAGATTTGAACAAAAAGATTTCGTCTCCGAACATGTAGCCATACTTTTTCCTGAACAAATTATGTATGCTCTTGCTCTATTGATCACACTATCAATAAGTTGATTAGCTTCTGATTCTATCTCAGAAGAAGAATCTATCTTCTTCGTTCACAACATGAAGAAATCTTATGATGATGATCAAATTTGTAAGAGGCATAAATATTCCTAATTTAAGACTTCACGTCAACATCTATACACGATTAGATTTGTCAGCTTAAGCGCTGCAAAATCTGATAATTTTAATGTTCTTTTTAAGAAAAAAAAAAGAAATGAACCAAAACAGATCCTTATGTACCCCCGTCCTTGACTTAAAAAGAAAAGGTTAATTAAAAACATACGTTCTTCCAATATTTGCTCCATCAATAATAACATCACGTAAAGTTTGTCCTTTTAATTTTTGACGCATTTCACGTACAAGATCATTATCATTTATATCCGATGTTTGTTGACGAGGATTATAATGACGAGAATGTGCATTTTGTTTTTTTGGTTTAACAATAAATTCATTTAAAGCAGTTTCACGAGCAGCTGGCCTAAAAATAAAAGAGAAAAAAATCTTTCTTTTTTTTCTTATTTCATTTCAAGAATTAAATTTTTAACTCACTCAGCACCGGGAAAAGCAATTTTTAATTTTGGTTCTTGTCTAATAGGTGAAGGTAAAAAACTTTCTTCTTGTTGTTCATTATCATTATTATCTTTTATTATTATTCTATTTTTAATTGGTGATAAAGCTTTTTCTTGTTCATCAAATTGATCTTGTTCATCAACTGTTGTTAATTGACTTTCAAAATTATTTGATAAAGATTCTAAAGCTGATTGTGTATTCATAATTATTGATTTATCCGATGCAAGAACATTTGATATAGCTTTTCGAAAATCATCTATTGCCAAAAATAAAACAGTTAATGTTGTTGAATGAAATGTAAGCATTGGTGAATCTGTTTTATCTTCAATTTCAATATGAACTAAATATTCTTTCATTAAACGATTTAATAATTCATCATCACATAATATTTGTTTATATTCTAGTGGATAGGGAATTGATTTTGTATGTTTTGGTTCAAGATAAGATAAAATATATTGCTAAAAAACAAAAAAAAGATTAGTTAGCATATGTTTTATTTCAAAAACAGACAAAAAAAGAGATTCAATGCTTACTTCTGCATGTTCACCGACAGTTTTATCATTACAATTAACGTGTACATAAATATAATCATTATTTGTTGCAGCTGAATAATAATAAAATTAGGTTTTTTTTATTAACTTTAGAACGAAAAAAAAAGAAAGAAATTTAAATACATACGTATACGATATCGTAGATGAGCATTAAAACATAATAAAAGAAACTGTTCTCGATTGATTAAATGCCAAAAGTCATCTTGTTTTATTGTCAATTCTTTTCTCATTGTTATTTATTTTTTTTGTTTTATTTCTATAAAGATTTATTCCATAGAAAAAAAAAGACAAGGAAAAGCAAATATTAAAAATTTTCTCTTCTGTAAATATTTCTTTATTAGAATTTTGATTGAAGAAAGTAAAAAAAAGAAAACAACCAAACCAACCAACAAAAGACAAAAAAAAAGATTGATTTATGCACAAAAGAAAATGACATTTGTCACAACTAATATTTAGAAAAAAAAAATGAGCACATCATCATTATTATTTATACAAAAAAAAAAAAGAAGAAATCCTGAGAATTATAGAAACAAAAAAAAAAACAACCACAGCAATTAAAGATGCTAACAACTAGTTGAAGCCATTGAACCTGGTCGTACTCTTGGATAAAGCTAAATAAAAATAAAATTTAGAAAAAAAAAAAAGAATAAAATTTATTATAACATACTCCAAGATAATTTCGTGGTACATATCCTTCTTGTTGTGTAGTTTCATGTTTAGCCCACCACCATTCATTTTCATTTTCATCACCACGTCTTAATATTCTTAATTGATCACCATCTTTGAATGAAAGTTCATTATTATTTGGATCATCTGATGTATTATTACTAGGTTCAAAATCATATAAACCATAAACTAAACTATTATTTATTACACCCAAATCATTTTGTACAACTAAATTATAAAATATTTATAATAATAGTATCAATTTATTAAATGAAAATTTCGTCACTAAAAACACTGTACATCTCAAATCTTGTGTAGTCGACAAGCAACTGCAACTAAATACTTATAATTTGAATCATGTGTCTTTCTCATATCTTCTAAATTATTTGAGATTTATTATTTTACTCTCTTAAGATTAATCATTTGAAGAGTTTCATTCTGTATATTTATTTTTGTCGAATTAAATACATCATAATACAATTTGTAAATAACTTACATAAAAGATATTGTGAACAAGTCGCATAATTTTCTTCTTCTTCTTCACATTTTTCAGCAGCTGTTTCATTATCTCGAATAGTTGTTGCATAAATACAAGCACCATGTTCAACTAAAAATTGTACCATTGGTGTATTATTACATGATGCTGCACAATGTAATGGTGTCCATCCATCATTATCAGCAAAATTAATATCACAACCAAATTCAACTAAAAATTTTACACAATCAAAATTTGATGCACATACAGCATTATGTAATGCTGTTAAACCTTCATCATTTGGTTGACTTGGATTTTCAACCTTAATATAAAAAAAAAATGAACTTTTCTTTTTTTTTGTGAAAATTTACTTTACCTCTTTTGCTGCTTTCATAACAAGATCAAGTTCTCCAACAACAGCAGCATCAAGAAGAAGTGCTAATGGATCAAACATAACTCGTCTTGTTAAATTTTTTGGTGTTGTTGAAGTTTTTAATAATGATTTAAGATTCATAGTTAATGTTGTTACTGTTGTTGTTATTGTTGTTGGTGATGATATAGCTGATTCAATACCATCGGAATGTTCACCTTCAGATTCTGTATCAGAAACAACTGATTCAAGCATAACTTGTTGTTCTTCATGATGCATTTGTTGTTCATCATCATTTTTATTATTAAGATTTGTTTGTATATCAATAAGATTTTCATATGCAACAACTGTTGGTATAGGTGAAATTTTTGTATCAGTTAATAATTGATTTGATGAATCATCACGAACTTGTATTGCTTGAGATTGTATAGTATTATTATTATTTGATGAAACATTTGATGAAAGATATTTTATTAATGAATCAGCTGGATCTGATAATGAATGACGTTTTTTTATTGTTGATGTTACATTATTAAAATGTACAGAAAGTATATCATCATTTAAACGAAGATTAGGTGGTAATAATTGTTGTTCAGTTTTATTTATATTACTATCCATCATATCTGTAGCTTTTTTATTATTTAATAATGATGGAGATATTGATTGATTTGATGTACGTGCCATATATGTTGCTGCTATTTCACTTTTTGATGCAAATGCAATTTTAGATTGTTGATTTGATAATAACATACCATTAGGCTACAGATAAACAGAAAGAATTATTGGTTTCTTTTTTTTACCTCGACATAAAATTTTAATATGAAAATAA